AAGAAAGAAAGAAAGAAAGAAAACGCCTTGCATTGCATCAAGGGCCAGTTCAAACAGTAGTACAGGAACACACCGGCTGCTCGGGCTCTGCAGACATGTAATGAGCTGCAGAAAACTGGCCGGTTGTAAGACGGGAAGTGGACATGCAAAGTGCGTATTCTCCTGAACACAGGAGGAGGATTGTAAGAGTTGGAGAAAGAGACGACTGTGGAAGCAGCGGCGACTAACAGCTGGCAACTGCTGCGATATTCCAGTGGAGGGAAATCTGCCCCTCGTGTCTCCTCACAAAACAAAGCTCTGTTTTTTAACGCCCCCAAAAATGTCCTCTTCTTCTGACATCTCGACTTTGTGCAGGACAGAAAGTTGCTCTATACTGTAGGTCTCGACTGTTCCGCCTTTTTTGTGTTTGTTTTTTATTTAATTTCTCCTCCTCCTCTTCCCTCTCCTTTTCCCCCTTCAGTTCAATTTGTTTTAATTTCTCTCTCTAGAATTCCTCACACAAGAACAGCCTTCTTTCTTGCCTTGTCTTAATGCTTTAAAATAACCAAATGGGAGTTCTAACTACCAAACCTTTTTTCATACGCCCGACCGACTTTCGTTACAACCTGTTAGTGTCTTTAATTTTTTTTGTTTTTTAGCTGAACTGGCTCTGTATTCTGTGCTTTAAAAGCTCGTTTCATCTGTTATTTCAGTGTCGTTTCTTGTTCGTTCCCTCATTAGAGGTTTGTTAGTAAGCTCCTTTTTTTGTTTTAGAAAATATGTTCCCTTTTTTTATTTATTACGTTAGGTAAAAATGATTGTACAACCATGTCAACATGCTCATGAAGTTGAAACTAAGATTTGATACACTGATCAATTTATTTATGTAACTAAAAAATCACTGTTTTATAAACTTGTTAATGAATCAACATTTTGTTTTGATTAAATTCGTTTTTTGAGAGGATGAAGTCTTTGTGTTTTTAATTATTTAAACTGTTGATGAGAATAACTGAAATTAGGATTGAATGTGAAAGTTCATTATTGATCCTGGAAATTAAGTAGTTTGACAATCTTAAAAAACAAGATAAGATAGCTTTTTCTGGAGCTTTGAATTTGTATTTTCATTTGTGACAATTTACTACCCCAGATTTAAAATTGCAATTTCTCTATATATATGTTTTGCTTAAAGTCTGTAAAGTATTAAAGTGTTTATATAATCTGGAAAACAATTCATTTTAAAGAAAAGTATACAGTATAACCACCTGTTTGAGCATATAAATGTATAAATGAAGGTGGTTATGAGCTGGATTAATTGCACTATTCTGTACTCTAATGATAAAGTCGTCTCCCTGCTTTAGAGTTAATTTTGGCGTCCCCCAAGGTTCAATACTAGGTCCTCTACTTTTTTCATTTTGCTACCGTTTTCCCTAAATATTACACGGCCTTAGATTATATATATATACTGATGATAAACTGTCTGTTAAATACCAAATTAAATGAAGAATTAAATAAGATTCTTTCATTATCTATGCATGAAAGAGATATTATAAGACAAACATTTTTAATCCCACAACAAACTGAACAATAAAGGAATATACAAGATTATACACCAATAAATAAAAAAATATTGGGACAAAAAAGTCCCGAATAAAGTAATGAGATCAGGATGTGATAAAAGGTCAAAGGTCATGGTAAATTAGATTAAGTTAGAGTTTAGAGCAGGAAGAAAGTGTTGTGCTTTTCTTTTTTATTTAGCTGATGATGTTTCGGCCTTCTTCAAGATCAACAATCATAGTGAGACACATGCACTGGTATTTTATAAAGGCCACAGACTAGTTAAACATCTGATGGTGATCAGAATCAGAATCGAAACAGCAGGTGGTAATTGCTTCAATATTTCATATCACATAAAGATTTAAATTTCACATATTAAAAATACATTTTAAATAGATTTCTAATAGATAATAGAAAAAGAAAAAAAAAAGAAAATAAAGCTAGACTGAATATTTCTTCCACCACTGAAACCTGGTATCAGGAGAGTTGTGGTCACGTTAAACCACACAAATTTTCAGTCTTAGCAATAGCTTCTATTGATCCATACAGATCAGCATTTAAAGGTTATCTACATGATATTTAACACATTAA